GGGTCAGACTAGATGATCTACTCAGGTCCCTTCCGACCCTAGAAACTATGAAATTATACAAGAATGAACTTGGGTTTTTTAGCCTCTACCTTGAATACTGAGTCAGTTATGAGCCACCGTTGTATGAGGGAAAGGGCTGAGACAGCCAAGAAAAATAATGAAGGGTACAGAGAAACTTCCGTGTAGACTGGGAAAGTCAGAACTGTATGCCTGGGTGAGAAAGACCAGGGTGGAAAGAAGTAACTTGGGCATCTTTTCTGCCTGTTAGGTATTTTTCTGCTCGTTATACAACCACTTTTTTTTCTGCTTACTATAGCAACATTCAGTGAAACTGAAAGGCAGAATACAATACAAGAAATTATTCTGATACAAAGCATCCTTAACTTCCTGGTGCGCAGTCAAGAAGGATGTGCCTTTTAACAGGGCTCAAGAAGACAAGTTTTCTAGCTGAAGAGCTAGGCAGTTTTCTGAGAGAAGTAGTCACAAGCTGCTTTGCAACCTGGAAGAGTCCCCCTTATGGACTGGTTATTCCACAGCAGCAAGGTTTCTTGTACAGGCACTACAGGGCACAAATCGATGATTGTTCTGTCTCAGTGGTGTTCTGAAAGGGGTGAGATTTCTGCCACGGAGCTATTCAGCAGCTGCTTTCCATAAGCTGAGTTTGAATCATTTCTCTAGAGAAGGAAGAAACCCCCAGAAAGATCTCATTGTGGCTCCTTTCCCACCTGCAGAGTTCAAAGGACACTGTTCAGCCACTCATTGCTGTGTCAAATAGGGGAGGTCTCTGTTACAAGAGCCTCTGGCAATTCAGGCTGTGACTTCGCCAGCTAAGTTGTAAGACATGGCTAGGATTTAAACAGGAAATGACCAAGAGTGGCAGCCAAAAGGACTGGGTTTTTTGGCCAGTTGTCCTCTCCCTGGACTCCGTCTAGTGATGGGGATGCTGCAGAAGTCTTGAAAAAGGCCAAAATGGAACCAGTTAGTTAAGTCGCCCTTGTTTCAAGGATGTATTTCATAGCCGTGTTGGTCCGAGACAAAAAGAAATGTAAAACTCTAGAACGCTTGATACCTTTTATTAGACCAACTAAGAAATTGCAAAAAATATATATATATTTTTAGTTGGTCTAGTAAAAGGTATCACTTCTGAACCAAGCTTTCTAGAGTTTTGCATTTTTTTAAGTCTCCCATGGCACTTAGGAAGTTACCATAATAGCAGAGGATGTTTGGCTGTGTGGGCAATTGCAGTTCTGCTTGCATAAGCTCCAGTCTTCTCTGGCAACTTTCTGCCTTGAAACAGATGCCTTGTTTCACCTTGGAGGTGGTTTTGCACTTTCCCATAGTCTGTAAAGGGCTTTGAGCTTTCAGGTTAAAATATGCTCAAAAGGAAGATTTACTTTTTTTACTTAAAAAATTGGGCCCAGCAAACTGTAGGCTTGTGAACTTCTGCTTCCCAGCCAACATTTTTAGAAGTGGTTGAGGTCTTTGGAGTGATTCAGTCCTCATGTGTCCAGCCCTCATGTGTCCAGCTTGAAGTGTCTGAAAGGGGCCTGGCTTGTCAGGACTCCGGTAACACCGTCCTGATAAATTGTCTTGCTTTTATTTTTATTTTTTTTAACCCAAATTGCAGATGGCTGGAATACTGCATGTTTTCTTTCCAAAATGCTGCAGAGGGACCCGGTGGTTCCCTCACCCATCTTGTATCACTCCCCCTCGCTGAGCGGGGAGACTGTTGTGCTTCATGGCAGGTGTCGTCTAACCAGGGACTACAAAAGAGGACTGGAGCACGAGGTCCTGGAGTGATGCCTTCAGAATTGCAACAGTCCAGAGTTTAGCTTGCTTGCTTTAAAGGACTAAACCCATTTGTGATCCAGCTGTAATTCTGTTGGCGTGTGAGGCCAGAGGGCCCCGTGGTGTGTTAGACAAGGCGGGTTATATCTGAGTTGGGCACAAGTGATGCCAGGCCCCCTTGTTTTCTTCTGTAACAGCCTCTGGACACGTTTAGCTCCCCAGGCTCTCAGTGAAGTGGAGGTAGGGACCTCTTCCTTATGTCCTTTCCTGGGAATATATACATGTTTTTTCTGAGTGGGGCATTGTAGCAGGGAGCCAAAGACCCATGTCACTACAAAGGGGAAGGTACAGCAGGCTAGCCTGGCTGTGTAAGTGGGCCAGCAGCTGAGACAAGGCCAGCTGCACAGTAAGCTGGAGGAATAGGACAGACTCGCAAGCAGCCATAGGACAGACTGCAAGCAGCAAAGCTAAGCTATAACGGCAGAGCTGGCTTGGCCCTCTGGGCCTGAGAAGGGCCAGGCCTGGGGGCCCAGAAGCCAAGGTCTGGTACAATGAGCCTAGGCTGAGAAGGGCACAGCCAGAGAAAAGGGGCCAAAGCAAAGAAAGCCAAAGCCCCAACAAAGGTTTTGAAGCCCTAGAGAGAGCCAAGCATTGTGGGACTGGCGGCCCCCCTGAAATAATATCATGTACTCCTGTGAGGCATGGGCATGGCTATAGGGGAAGGCGGAGGCCATGAACATAGCCTTTAAGACACTACATGTCCCAGGGCACCAGTAGGGCTGGAAGGGCCACAGGCAAACAGTAAGGAAGGGCACCCCGAGGGATCGGACCGAGCAGGACCTGCAGCATCACAGGTCCTGTCGGAGGTGTGTAAAGTAGCCGGTCAGTGTTCTGTAATGTCAAACAGTGCAGTGTCAGTCCCAGCTTGGGAGAGGCTGCAAGTCAGGCATTTTGAATTGCTGGAAGGCATTTTATAGGAATAAAGACATCATATCCTGGTAACTGTTTTATGACCCTTGTGTCACTGGGAGCTGGTGTTACCATGTGAGTGATAGGAAAGAGGCGATGACTAGCCCAGGACATCAGTGGCAGTGCTGGGAACTTTATTCATACACAAGTTCCTACTTTTGGTTTCTTGCTGTGGGCTTGGGATAGCTGTCCCTGATTCTGTGCCTGGCCCATCGCTTGAGTGGCAAGATTACCCCCTCGAGAGACCCAAAGCTGTGCTCAGTAAATGCTTTGGAGACTGGTTGGCCAATCCTTCCTTTAGAGCTGTCACAGATGTCCCTTTATCTAACAAATGCATGTTAATCCTGACCAGTTCTTCTTTCGTTCCCTGACCTCACGCAGTTTTACAGCGCGTCAGGAATGCCGACGAAGCATCTTTCGGACAGCGTCTGTGCTGTGTGCGGACAGCAGATCTTCGTGGATGTCAATGAAGAAGGGATCATAGAGAACACGTATAGACTCTCCTGCAATCATGTGTATCCTTTTCTGGACACAGTGCCTCGTGCAGCCTGCTTCCTACCAGCGTTTTTGTCTCCAATTCTGGTACGGAGGGCTGTTCTTAGTGCCGTTTGACATAGGCTGTGCACATCTTGGGGGGCAGAATGTACTGTCTGGGGCTGAGGTGAAAGGAATATATACACTCCCTTGCCTCTTCAGGTGGCTTAATGTTTTCTATTGTAAACTTACGTTTCTGGCTGATCAGCACCCGAATTTAAAGCATTCCCAGGGAAAACACCCAGGTGCCCTAGGAAGCTGGTACTGTGTATCAATAGATAGATGTCATAGCATGGGCGCCATTGGATCCAGCCCACAGAGCCAGGGAACTTAGCAGTGTTTCAGTGGCAGGGGACTTCCCTGCTGCTGGGTCCAGGCAGCTGTGCCTGTGCTGTGCAGCTGAGGCTGGGGAGAAGCGGCATCAGAGGAAAAGTGGCGCCAGCTTGCCCTAGACCCAAGCGGGGTTGCTCCAGCCTCATCTCTGGAAAGCTGCAGACTGCTGTCCTAGCATGAGACCACGTTGGCAGTTCGCTGCTGGAGGTGCTGTCTTCCAGATGAGCCATAGGAGCAATGATCTGAGTACTGCTTGGAGAGCTTTGGCTTGCAGAGGTTGGCATCCCAGTCAGATTCCTGCTGGGGGGATTTCACTCTGCTGCCATGAATTCCCCCTGCAGTTTCCAGTATGAGAGGTATTTTCATTTTCTCAGAAAAGGAAACCTTGGGCAGCATTCCAGCAAGGGAGTGAAGCAAGTAAGCACATAAGCAACAAGTACGTTGGCACCAGGAATTGCTTTCTTATCCTTTTAATCAAGGGACAATGTGTAAATTAGATCAGATGTTTTGCTGCAAGGCACCAGGGAGTTTCCTAATGGAGTTTTAGAGCCTTCCCGTCTGGACTCACCAGCTGTCATCTCAGCTAAAACAACTAATAATGAAACCACTTCTATCTGAGGTCTTTGTGATTTGCCTGTAGGGTGGAAAGGAGCTTGGTTTGGACCCTAGTTCTCTAGGGATAAGCACCCACCACTGAAACAGGCACTGAGAGATCCTTGTTGATGCTGAACCTGACACAAACGTTGGCTGTTCAGCTGTCACAAGTGACTCTCCAGGCTAGGCTTGAGAAGCTTGCCCTGTTTTCCCGCAGAGGGAAGGCACGGTGGTTTCTTATCACATCTTTCAGGGTGTGGTTTTCTCTGCACGCCAGGTGGTACTGGCATTAGAAAAACCTTCAAACACTGCATGCAAGAAATAGTTGAATGCAGTTTCACAAATGGAAAGTCTGAGTTGCTTATGCAAATATTGAGTCTGGGGCTTTTTGGTTCTATGCTTATAATGTAGTCGGCAGGTTTTTTTCGTACCTTTTGTGCTTCCGGCAGGTATGGCGCCTTGGCCTAGCAAGTGTGATCTGTTGAAAACCAACCCAAAGCCACTTGTTCTACCTCTTTGGCTCCAAATAAACACTGGTTGCAGCACATGATGTTGTTCTGGGCTGGGGCTGCTCACGGTGAGACATCCACCTATCCGTGTGAAGGCTGGAGACTGCCTCGTGGTATTTTATTTGCAGCTCCCTGAGCCCTAAAATATGGCAAATCCAGTACACAGAGCAAACCAACTACTTGCTTCCATTGCCCTAGTTAGCAGCACCTCTGAAAATTTCCATTAAGCTTCAGAGTGAAGCTGCTTGGAAGAACCACTGGAGCACTGTGCCCTTTGAAGCAGACACCATCTTATTGCATTGGTCGCTTATTGCTAGCCAGATCCTGGGGCTCTTAGCAAAAAAATGTGCAAACAAGTGTGTGCTTCTTGAAACCCTTGTCATCCTGCTTGGATGATAAGGCTTTCCCTAGCATGGCCTTCCATGATCATCTTGATAAATATCCTTTTTTATTTCAGAAGAAACTTTAGATTTGGGAGCAGCCTACAAATCTCAGAGTCTGAACTAATCTTACTGTCACTAGTCTTACTGTTTTACATTAATTGTTTAATTATCTTAATATAATTTTAACTTAAGGATAAATAAGTATTCAGGGTTTTTGTTTTAAGACTGAATTATTAAAACTTGAGTAGCCCGCATATTAGACTTGGTAAAATCTACAGTTGAGGATAGGATTAATTTCCCACTGGGTTAAAGGAGACAAAGCTTGTACCCTGCATCAGGTGTTTAGTGATGACTGTCCACATGCATACTCGTAAGTGGAAGCCAGACTAATAGGTTAGTCACCTTTCATTGAGGATAAGCTCTGGCAATTCATCTTCCACTTATCACACGGTAAAGATGTACATGCAGGCAGTTAACATGGAGCAGCTGAAGCAGGGCAAATCTCAGTCCACTCTTACTTTGCAGTGAGGTATTTACGTATCTGTATCCCGTGTCAGCTTCCGGGTTTCAGATGGCAGTAACTTATTTGTTGGTTGGTTCATTTTGAACTTTTACCGTGGGCTAACAGATCTAATTGTACGTCCTTGCATGCAGTCTGATCTCACTCATGGCTTGCTGTACATCTGGGAGGGATGTGTAGAACATGCGGGTGTGTAGCACATCTGTACAGAATGGCACTACCAGCCTACGACCTTCAGCCTGTTTGCAGCAGCACCATGGACAGAGGACCCCACATGCGAGGCAATCCATAAACAGATCCATTCTCCAAGAGTCAGTAGCTTGGGCCCAGTGATGACCCTGGTCTTGTCACTGAGATATCCCTTCCTTGCTTTCTCTCCTTGTCCTGGACCTCTCCTTCCATTTTTCTCTTCAGTCTCAAAAACTAATAGTTCCCATCTTGCTGTCTTCCTTGCCCTTTCTCCTGCTTTCAGATCTACAGCTCAGCTGTGCTGCTCCATCTAGCTGTTTGTTCTGTCATTTCTAACCTCTCCTATTCCATCATCTCACCTGTTTTCTATCCCTTCCTCCTTTCTGCCTGTTCTGTCGCTTCTCTGTCCTGATTAAAATACCGCAGCGCCATCAAGAAAGTGCTATAATTCTGTTGCCTTCCCCTCCCTCCCCTTCTACCCATTTCTCCTTTACTAGTCCTGGCACAGTGCATCAGGGTAAATTCAGGGACGGGCTCATCAAGGTACAGACTGTGTGTGTTGTAATGCGGAGAGCATACTAAACCATTTCTGTGACCAGGTCACTCTTTCTGTGACCAGGTCATTAAATGCTTAGATGCAGGAGTTGAGGTAGATGTCATCTACTTGGACTTTAAGAAGACCTTCGACACGGTATCCCATCCTATTCTCATAAACAAATTGAACGGCTATGCATAGACTATTACAATTGCATGGGTGGCAAATTGGCTGAAGGGTCGTACCCAGAGAGTGGTGGTGGACAGGTTGGTACCTGCCTGGAAAGATGTGGGCAGTGGGCTCCCCCCGGGCTCAGTCCTTGGGCCGGTGCTGTTCAATATCTTCATTAGTGACCTGGATGAGGGTATGGAAAGCACTCTGTCCAAGTTCGCAGATGACACCAAACTATAGGGCGAAGCAAACATACTGATGGGAAGAAACTTAATCCAGGTGGACCTGGACAGGTTAGAGAAGTGGGCAGAGAACAGTAGGATGCAGTTTAACAAGGATGAGTGCAAGGTGCTGGACCTAGGGCGAGGGAATCACCAGCACATCTATAGGCTGGGGGATGACCTCAGCTGCATAAAGATACCTCAGAGTCATTGTCAACTCCAAGATAAATATGAGTCATCAATGTGACAAAGTAATTAGCAGAGCTAACTGGACTTTGTCATGCATTAGTAGGTGCATTACAACCAGGTCCAGGGAGGTGATGCTCCCCCTCTATGCGGCACTTGTCAGGCCACAGCTGGAGTACCTCATCCAATTTTGAGTGCCGCACTTAAAGAAGGATATGGACAACCTTGAGAGAGTCCCAAAGAGGGCCACTGTTATGGTTAGAGGCCTGGAGGGAAGGCCCTATAAGGAAAGGCTGAGGGACCTGGACCTTTTCGGCCTCCGCAAGAGAAGGCTGAGAGGGGATCTTGTGGCAGTATACAAATTCACCAGGGGGGGGCAGCAGGGAATAGGAGATGCTCTGTTTACCAGGGCACCCCTTGGCATAACCAGAAACAACAGCCACAAGCTGATAGAGCAGATTTAGGTTGGACATCAGGACGTACTTCTTTACGGTTAGGATTGCCAGAATCTGGAATCGGCTCCCGAGGGAGGTGGTGCTCTCCCCTGCCTTTGGGGTCTTCAAGAGGAGGCTGGACAAGCACCTGGCTGGGGTCACATGACCCTAGCGCTCTTTCCTGCCTCGGGCAGCGGTCGGATTCAATAATCCATTGAGGTTCCCCCCCCCCCGCATTAAAAAACTAGGCGACTGTGGCATTGATGCCTACACAGTCAGATGGATTGCAGATTGGCTGAAGGGTCGCACTCAGAGGGTGGTGGTGGACAGGTCATATTCGACCTGGGGGTAGTGGGCAGCAGAGTCCCCCAGGGCTCAGTCCTTGGGCCTGCGCTGTTCAGTTTCTTTATCAGCAATTTGGACGACGGGGTGAAAAGCAACCGGTTTAAATTTGCTGACGATACCAAAATTTGGGGTGAGGTGAGCATGCTAGTAGGGAAGGAAAGACTGCAGCAAGACCTGGACAGGTTACAGGGGTGGCCTAACAAAAACAGGATCCGCTTCAATACTGACAAGTGCACGGTGTTGCGCTTGGGCAGTAATAACCAGCAGCACACTTATAACATGGGAAACTCCCTTCTTGAGAGCACAGAGGCAGAAAGGGCTGTTGGAGTCATTATTGACTCCAAGATGAACATGGGCCAACAACGCAAGGTCACAGTTGGCAGGGCTAACCGGACCTTGTC